CCCCAAAACCCCAAAACCCCAAAACCCCAAAACCCCAAAACCCCTATTTTCAAGGAAAAATTGAAATTATGTAAGATTGCTCTAATCACTGCTTGCCAATTAGATATGGTAGAAAACCCAAGGATAAGATTGAATTAAGCTTTACAAATTTCAAACATTTGTACTTTAGCCTCTGCTTTGTAATTAACAAGTGGGTCATAAGGTTTCTTTGAAAGTGCCATTGGGGTCTCATAAACCTCATCAATAAATAATCCTGCACTATGAATCAAGTCCTCAATTCTATTTTTCTTCTGAAGTCCTATAATCTGGGCTAAGTCACTGTATATCAGGAGCATTCTTCCTCTTTTCTCTGGAGAAAGGTGCAATCTTGCAAAATTTAGAGAGGATTTTAAAAAGACTTCCTCAGGATCATACACTCCATTATCTAGTGGATTTATTTCAGGAAGCTTGGATGCTGGTAGCCATGGAGGATTCGCCAAAATAAGATCATATTTACTTGGCATTCCTAGCTGATTGATTACCTTCTTGTACATCATTTGTTCTTTAATAAAAGATGGAGTATTCAAAGAAGGTTTCGCTTGTAAATCAGTTATCCCTGATTCCTTAAAAAGAGCCTTGTTGTGATATAGTGTGGTTAAGTCGAACAAGATTGGCTTTAATTTTGTACCCAAACCATGAACCTGGGAGTTAATTTTTGTTCATTCCACCGCATTCTCAAAATTATCAATGCCAATCAATTCTCCTGAAGTTCCATATTTTCCAGCAAGGATGCCTAAAATGCCAGTTCCACAGCCAATATCAATGACATTATTAATCTGACTCGGATCAGGCAAGGATTTCATGAATAAGTCTAATAAACTCAAATGTGTCTGAGTGGTTGGGCTCCATACACCATACAGTGGATAAATCATATGATTATCCAGAGTCAAGATTTCAATACCGTTCTTTTCCCATTCTTCTGAAGATATCATCCCATAAAGCATATTAGAAGGAAGGAAATAATCAGACTTCTTATAATCATTCAATGGCTTATATAGCCCAGCTTGCTCTGGAATCACCTGTGCTAATGTCTTCAGCTCTGGGCGGTTCTGGCCTTTAATCCTCAGACTAAAATCTTTCTCGACAAGGTATCCAATCCTGCCTAACTCTTGAGAAATATTGAGCCTGACGTTTCTTTCCCTGTGAAAAATATCTAGAGGAGTTTTACATTTCGAAAATGCATTCTTATTGCTCACAGTATCAGCCTTGATTCTGTTCATGCCGTAATATCTTTCGAAGACTTTCTTCCTGATTGCTCTATAAATAGACATAGAGTTGGTATAGTGAGCTCCTTCAGGATCAAACAAGAAATAGCAGTTTTTGTTATGGCTCAACACCTTCATAATCACCCTGACCGATGAGTTATCGTCTATCATGAACACTATACAGGAAAAAGGTCAGAAGGAGATGTGGGACTAACAAGGTAATTTACCTTCTTTGTAACTTCTCTCATATGGATTTTTGCTCCGCTTCATCGGCTTGACATTCACTAATTCTCCGTATTCAGTCAGTAATACTTCAGGTTCAGGAAGTGAGTCAGCCTGGTTAACCGTTATTTGATTAGAAAAGCATCTCACTTGGGTAAAAAGAGAGGTTCTCAGTTTAAAGAATAATTTAGAACGAGCTAACATTTTTAAAGAGTTTTAATTTTATAAAATATTGTGAGCTGTTAATTTCAACAAAACAATAGTTCCACGGGGTTTTGGGGTTTTGGGGTTTTGGGGTTTTGGGG